CCTGAAAAAAACCATCAGATGAAGAATTCAGTCTATGGCTACAACTCTGACGACAATTGAGTAAAATTATCTACATATTGGGCTTTGCTTTGTACATTTCCATCTATATTTAATCTGCTCTTTTGTTGCTGCAACTAGGAGGCTTATAATCATCTTTGCACAACACACAAATGCATCAAAGATGCATCATCAAGCTTTACCAGGCTGATATCAATTTCTAGTTTTCTTCTAGGTCTGACTTGCCAGATTTTGAACAGATTCAGTCAAAAGTAAAACAGATACTTTTTAAATCTCAGCTTAATGACCGGTGCTTCTCTAATGAATCAATATTTTAGTTTTATTTCCATCCTGTTGACATTTGTGTTTTATGAGAAAAAAAGAGAAGGTTGGTCAAATAGTGATGGGGTGTTTAATTGAAGCAGAGAACCAATATCAGTTGTGAGGTCTTTTATTTTTTTTAATGGTGGTAAAAGTGTAGGGATATGCAGACATAAATAAGATCAGGACATATCGGCCATAACAGCAATATTAATATTGGCCCAATTTTTTCCATCTCTGCACAATTAAGTAAGTGAGGTAGTTTCAGGTTAAATCTCTTTCAAAAAACGTGAAATCATATTCATGCATAATATGTTTTATCAGAGGATAATATTCTTCTTCTTGTGTAGAGTAAGCTTTATTCTTCATTCAGCCATTGTTGTGCAAAAAAAACATAAGGTTTCGCCAGTATATAGAGTGTCCTCCATATTAGATATCCAAAATCACTTAAAGAAAAAGCGGAACATGTGTGGAAAAAATAACGTATACATATTTGCCATTAGTCCCTAAGAATCATCTGAACCGCTGGACACGAAGAAGAAGAAACATCTGTGTCGAATCATCACTGCGGCTAACAGCTGGTCACCTGATTCATTGTCACACAGAATTAAAACTGTTTTTCGTCATAGCCGACGAAAAACAGTCGGTTATGTTTTAGGGCTAAAACACCTAAAGTCAGAAAAGAGGCACACACTAACATCTGTCCCATCTGGTATGAGCCATATTATAATCTGTCAACGGAAAATTTTAGCCTGCAAGCTAGGCTAGTTAGCTTAGCCATAGTGCTTGGTTTAGACCTTACCTTCCCTTTTAAGTCCAACACGTACACCGCACTGGCCGACATCCTGAACCTGTTTTACACGAGCTCAGCTCAGCTCGTTATGTGACCCTAACTGATCGATAAGTGATATTACTCGTTTACATAAAACATTTACAAATCTGTCTTTTCATTCATAATACTGAGAAGAAGACGATCCTTCCCGTTTATTGGACATCCGCAGTACAGCTTGCGAGCGAGCGCCCCCTAGAGAACAAGAAGAACAATCCCCACAGGTACAAGCGGCTCATGAATTTATGGAAGCCCGTTTCCGCCACTCTGTTAAAAAAATTAAATAAAATTATCTCATTATAATGAAATAGTATCTCATTATAATGAGATAGTATCTCATTATAATGAGATACTATCTCAAAATAATGAGATAGTATCTCAAAATAATGAGATACTATCTCATTATAATGAGATAGTATCTCAATATAATGAGATAGTATCTCAATATAATGAGATAGTATCTCAAAATAATGAGATAGTATCTCAATATAATGAGATAGTATCTCATTATAATGAGATACTATCTCAAAATAATGAGATAGTATCTCAAAATAATGAGATAGTATCTCAATATAATGAGATAGTATCTCAATATAATGAGATAGGAGACTGTGGAGGTTGAACCCCCTTTCGAATTGGTTCAGTCCACCTGGACCGATTTGACGGTACCATCGGTCGCGCCTGCCGCCTGAAATCACCTAGCTAAATGTAGCTATTTACAACGGTAAGAATTGTGGTTTTGTTAATTTAAATTAAGTCTGCAATATAAGCTAGCATAGTATAAAGTAATCAATTTGTTATACTGACGACGGTAGCTAATTTTGAAGATATCAAATTAGCTACCGGTTTCTGTTTCTTCACTTCGTCAGTGCACAACTGACTTTTCGTTGATTGTAGTTAATATCTGAGGATTACGTGGTACGTTTATTTGCTGTAATGATACATGTTCAGTCTACCACAAAGTGTAATAACTGGTGAGTAGTTCCTAGATGCTGCATCACGCTCCCAAACCATTGCGACGCCAAAACGATACCTCTAGCCTATGTATTTTTTTAAGTTAAACTAAAATATGTCGTGGCATTTTATGTCACGTACTCTGTCAGAATCTCTCTCTTTTATTAAATTTTAAATACTTTATGTACCTGGTCCCCAAGCAAATAAATAAAATAATAAATAATTGTTTTGTCTGTTTGCAAATCAATTTCTTTGATTTAATCAGTAAGTTCAAGTAACAAACAAAACATTATGTGCTTGGTTTTGTACAGTGCAGGTTGTTTCAGAAAGAGAAGAGTGGATGGTGTGCACCAGCTGGATTTTCACAAGCCTTAACTCATCACACAAGCGGTATAAGTGACTTCTCTGCTATAGTGTGTTTCTCCAGTTCTCCATTGAAAGACCTTTATGCTCCTCAGACAGCTTCATTTTATGTTTTCTTTCCTTTTCTACTGCTAAAGACATTGTCAGTATGGAACGGTACAGTTCTTTGTTATTACCAATAAATATTTTCTTATCTTTTCTGTGAATTTAAAGAGGTTTCTCAAGATGTGTCCATTTAAACCACTGTATATGCATAAATTTGTGTAATTACACAAATAAAATAACTGTGGTAATAGTTATTATAAAACAAAAGTTTAAAAAGATGCATTCCATTTTCTGTTCACCCTTGTTCCTATTGGGGTTGGGAGTTGCTGTTGCCTCTCCAGCTTCGTTCCAGGCGAGAGGTGGGGTCACCTGGACAGGTTGCCAGTCTGTCACAGGGCAACATAGAAACAAACAGGACAAGCAACCATGCACACACACACTCACACCTAGGGAGAATTTGGAAAGACCAATTACCCTGACAGTCATGTTTTTGGACAGTGGGAGGAAGCTGGAGTACCCGGGGAGAACCCACCATGCACAGGGAGAACATGCAAACTCCGTGCAGAAAGACCCCGGGCAGGGAATCGAACCTATGACCTTCTTGCTGCAAGGCAACAGTGCTAGTAACTGCACCACTGTGCAGGCCCCCTAGTAAAATCATTTCACAAAAAAATAAATAAATTGCGCTTAAAGGAATTATGAATGTCCCGGCCCGGGGTCTTTCTGCATGGAGCCTGCATGTTCTGTGCATGTGTGGGTTCTCTCCGGGTTCTCCAGCTTCCTCCCACAGTCCAAAAACATGACTGTCAGGGTAATTGGTCTTTCCAAATTCTCCCTAGGTGTGAGTGTGTGTGTGCATAATTGTTTGTCCTGTCTTTCTCTGTGTTGCCATGCGACAGACTGGCAACCTGTCCAGGGTGACCCGCCTCTCGCCCAGAACGCAGCTAGAGATAGGCACCAGCACCTCCCAACCGCACTAGGGACAATGGTGTTAGAAAATGGATGGATAAATGGCATTATGAATTATAATTAATTTTTCAGGAAAATTATAATTTGTAGTATGACTTGCTTTACATTTTATTGGAAACATGATGGTCTTGTGTATCTTCACCTTCCAGTGTATGATCACAGAATGGATGACCTGAGTGATTTCCTGAGACAAAGAAATATTCCTGAGGAAACTATTGAGACCATGCTGAGAGAGAAGGTACAAGCTAAAAAATAAATCAGTATTTCAAAAATTACAGTTTGTTTAAGGCATGTGTCTAGCAATGTTATATAATTGAATTCAAATAATTTGCATGCAATTCTAGTTCCATAAGTTTTAAAATAAATTATTTTTTATTCTTCTTGTTTAGATTGATAGCAGTGTCATCCAACTCATGACAGATGAAGAGCTAAAGAGTTATTTGCCATCATATGGAGACCGCATCGCCCTATTAGAATACTGTAAAAGGAAGGAAACTGGTCCCCCAAACAAATCAAAACTGTTTGAGCGCCTGAAATCAAAACTGGGTAAAAGGAAAACTGCTCATCAAGATGGTTGTGGTCTGGAAAAAGAAGAGCAATCTGAAACAAACGTTAAGAAGAATGCTCTGAAGTCAAAGAGAAAAATAGAAATAGGCTGGCTGCTTTATGATGAAGACCAACAGGCTTTTAAACAAGTAAGAGCAAGAAGAGGTGGTGGAACAAGGAAGGTTGATGTTTCAAAGGATGCTAAAAAAAGTGAGGTAATCCAAATAGCTGTTGGCATTTTCTTTCCAAATGGAAGAAATAGAGAAGGGTCCATAGCAGATTTTGAAATAGATCTGAAAGATTATCAGGAAGTGGCAGTTGATGACAAAATCACTGTTGGACAAATGTTTCATGTTACAAAACTGACTATTCTCAGGTTTTACCTGACCACCCATAAAAAGAAGGCTAACCAGTCAGTCAAGATGAAGTTTTGCCTTCACCATTTTTTCAGGATCAAGCCAGTTCTGTGAGTCGGCCCTCTTCTTCATCTGCTGTTAATGTTGCAATGACCAGCCAATCCACAATGTCCACAGAAGTAACTCCTGACTTTCTATTTATTGGAAACATAACAAATCATGACAATATAAACTTTTCACTTCAGTCTACAGAGCTTAGGGAGGAGGATTTGGATAGCAGTGGCATAGTGTTTCTAGGACCATTTTCTGACAGTGAGCCACAGATTTTGGACGATACTTTGCCAATATTCCCCCAATCCACATCATCTGCCAAAGCAGTGAAGGAGATACTGATAGTTCACAGAGGACAGGTACTTCCTGAGCTCATAGCACATTTCTGTGATGACAGACTTTTAGATAGAGACTTCGAAATCCAGCTAGTACTGCCAGATGGAACTCCTGAGATGGGATATGATGACGGAGGAGTCGTCAGAGACTGTCTTTCTGAATTCTGGAAAGAATTCTATGACCAATGTACTACGGGAAACACTTACAGAGTGCCTTTTCTGAGACATGATTATGGACAGAGCCAGTGGGAGAGTGTAGGCCGAATAATTGTTTTTGGATGGACAAGAGAGAAATATCTTCCTATGAAGATTGCACCTGTCATACTAGAGCAAGCAGCCTTTGGACAGGTAAAAAGTGATGTAGTGGAGAATTTCCTTAAGTGCATGCCTGAATCTGAGCGCTTTGTGTTTCAGTCATGGCAGTCAGACTTCAGCAGTGTTGACCAAGAGGAATTGATAGAGATTCTTGATAACTACAGTTGCAGACGAATGCCAACTGCCAGCAACGTAAATGAAATCCTCCAGGAGCTTGCACACAAAACACTTGTCCAAGAGCCTGCTTATGTTATTGAACAGTGGGCCAAAACACTCAGTAACACCGGGAACAGCTTCCAGGATCTTTCTTCAGTGTATGAAAACTTACAACCAAATGCAAGAAAAGTTTTGAAGTCCATTGTCTTTCCTCAGGAAATGAGTGGTCATCAGAAGGACATTCAAAAGTATGTTAGCACATATATCAGGAACGCAGATTTGCAGCATCTGTCCTTGTTTCTAAGGTTCTGCACAGGTTCAGACCTGTTCTTGGATAAGAAAATTCTTATTGATTTTACAAAGATTCAAGGGTTTCTCAGAAGACCTGTGGCTCACACATGTAGCTGTGTCCTCGAGCTGTCAATCTATTATGATAGCTATCCAGATTTCAGTGCTGAAATGAACAAGGTTTTGGACTCTAATGTATGGGTCATGGACATTATTTAAAGATTTTAAAGTGATGGAGGAAGAGGAAAAAAAAGAGGTTAAGGTGGCTATTTAAAGTAACAAGTTGCCTATCAAAATCTAAGTAGATGTTTTCCCCCAAAATTTCCTTATCAGAATTTAAGGTTTTACAGATAACAATTTACCAGGGTGATGTTACCATTCCCAAATTTCTACAGATGTTATAAAAAGGGATCACCTATTTGTGAGAGGTGAATGTTTGTTTGTGCAGCACAGCTGTTAGTTTGTTTAAGGGTAGATTGTCAAAACTCTACCATATATGCACAAGTTCTGCAAATTCAGATCTGTTAACTGTCAGTGGAATGTCAAAATAATGGATTTTTCTTTGTTGAAAGAATACAAAATAAATATATTTTGAATAAAGTGTAGGGTCTGTTTATATTTTGCTGTTGCACTGTAAACATATTTATTGGCCATAATACTGAAAAACATATATACGGTACAGACCAAAAATTTGGACACAACCTGCAAGAAAGCTCATTTACTAACCTGACAGGTCACACCTGTGAGGTGAAAACCATTTCAGGTGATGACCTCTTGAAGCTTATCAAGAGGTCGTCTGTGATTACTGTGATTTGCATTAATCATATTTACCTTTTGCAGTAATCACAGCAAAAGGTTGCTACTTTTGAAGAAACTACAATATAAGGCACATTTTCAGTTGGTTTACACTTTTTTGGTTTAGTACACGTGTCAAACTCAAGGCCCGGGGGCCAAATCCGGCCCGCCGTAGCTTTTTATGTGGCCCTCCACAGACTACACTAAACACTAAGTGTGAATAAATATTATATTATCAATCCTATCAATGCAGTTTTTTATCTGTTTACTGCCAATTTATATCAACCAATCCCTCCAATTTCTTGAGTATTTAGTTGATGTATGATTATAGTCCATGATTTATACAGCGAGTAAATAAACAGTCACATTTATTATAAGTTCCTGAAGGGAAATCTTCAATAATATTATGTAATTTTAAGAATTCATTGACATATTAACCGTTTGTGAACAGGTTTTATCAACTCATTCTGGCACAACCAGCCCTTTAAGAGCCTTCATGATCTTGATTTGGCCCAAAACAAAAATGAGTTTGACACACCTGGTTTAGTCCATATTTCCACATGTGTTAATTCATAGTTTGATGCCTTCAGTGTGAATCTACAATGTCAATAGTCATGAAAATAAAGGAAACTCATTGAATGAAAAGGTGAGTCCAAACTTTTGGTCTGTACTGTATGTCAAGAGTAATGACAACATTTGTACTCTTATCGAATTAATACCAACTGCAAACAATCATGTTGGTAGGAAAATTGTCACAAATGGTTATCTGTTAGTAATAACATGATTAAAACATTGCCTTGTACATATAACACTTTCCCCGACTAAGTAAGGGTAAGAAAACAGAGAACCTGCAAATGCTGCCACTATTTAGTGCTGTTTTGAAGAAGAGGCTTGTATTTTTGCAATAATAAAGAAGATTTAATACATAGAAATTAGTAGATTGACCTTGACCTCAATGTTGAAGGAAACTAAAATGTATTAGTGTTTTTAAATAAACCATAGAAACAAATTGTAACTCATTCATGCATTTAAGTTTTACAATCGCAATGTTTACACAGGACATACTGACATAATATCTGACTTGTTAACCTGGGCGATTTAGAGAAACTATTCCCTCAGCCCATCACTGATCATTTGGCGGAGTCTTACATAAAGATTAGTAATTTCATATACATCATCTGTCATTACCAGTCTGTGCTCTGTCATGAGTTCAGTGCATAAGTGAAATACATCGACATCACAGGGAAAGTCCTTGAAATGACATTCTTCTACACATATTTCCAGCTTTGTTAGATTAGCAGACTGTAAAAAGTTTGGAACCCCATACAGGTTGGGAACACCATGCATTAATGTGGGACGACCAGGAGGAGCCCGAGGATTATTTGTAGATCGTATTCGATGGTCATTCCATGTATGAACAACTTCATCCAGCTCCATCTGTATGATAAAAAAATTGAAAAAAATAAAATAAAATAGTTGTTAAAAAAATTCATGCTTCTGTATTATTTGTAACTTATTTCAAATTTGTGTGCTAAAAGTAAGAAGTAAATTTATAGTACCTGTATTGTTTGTAAGAAGCAAAACTGGATCAGTGATTTGTCCAGAAAACTGTCAACAAAATAGCCATCAGCTTTAAGCTGGTCGAAATGTTCCATCCAAAACTGGGTACATTCACTTCTTAAAGTGCACCACCATCGCTCTATCCTTTGATTTCCTGTACTCGGACCGAGAATAAGAGAGTCAAAACCATTTTCATTCTCGGTGTTGTGCAGAAATCTTTGCATCGCTGCCACATAAGTGTTCTCTGTGCCATGATCCATTCGTATCTTTTGAGGAAATCCATTATACTCCATCACAGCGTCAATGAAATAGCCAGCAATAATGTGAGGATCACTATTAGTCTTATATGCTTCGAGCCAGATCATTTTCCTTGAAAAGCCATCTATGCATCCATTAATACATATCCCATAAGGCTTTAATTATCGTACCCATCGATGTGCCAGACATAGTTTGGTCCCGACTGACATATAAGCGTCGTCTCAAGCGATTTGTGCACGCAGGTCAACCCGGTTGGGATCCAATAGGCGCATCAAAAGACGTACTGTTTCTCTGTCTGTGACTATGCCAGCCATCCAACATTTCTGGTGCATCCACCTGTAGCCGTGCTGTCTCCCAGATCCTTGTAGTTGATGCTCTATAAAAGAGGCCACTTCTGCAACATCTGTCTTATTTTTTCTACGCCAAAGGCGCTTCTTTTTGCAGTCTTCTCTCCAGCGTCCGGAGACTTAATTTGACATTATGGGTTTCTTCCAAAACTCCCAAAATTTCAAGATTAGTAAAACCACTTCTGAAGTATTGCTCAATGATGTTATCAATATCCATTTCTTTCTATCAAGCTGAGCATATTTCAAACTATAGGGCCAACTCAAGTTATCTCATTATAATGAGATACTATCTCATTATAATGAGATACTATCTCATTATAATGAGATACTATCTCATTATTTTGAGATACTATCTCATTATAATGAGATACTATCTCATTATTTTGAGGTGCTATCTCATTATAATGAGATACTATCTCATTATTTTGAGATACTATCTCATTATTTTGAGATACAATCTCATTATAATGAGATAGTATCTCATTATTTTGAGATAGTATCTCATTATAATGAGATACTATCTCATTATTTTGAGATAGTATCTCATTATAATGAGATACTATCTCATTATTTTGAGATACTATCTCATTATAATGAGATACTATCTCATTATTTTGAGATACTATCTCATTATAATGAGATACTATCTCATTATTTTGAGATACAATCTCATTATAATGAGATACAATCATTATAATGAGATACAATCTCATTATAATGAGATACTATCTCATTATTTTGAGATACAATCTCATTATAATGAGATACAATCTCATTATAATGAGATACTATCTCAAAATAATGAGATAGTATCTCATTATAATGAGATAGTATCTCATTATTTTGAGATACGATCTCATTATAATGAGATAGTATCTCATTATTTTGAGATACTATCTCATTATAATGAGATACTATCTCATTATTTTGAGATACTATCTCATTATAATGAGATAATTTTATTTAATTTTTTTAACAGAGTGGCGGAAACGGGCTTCCATATGAATTAGTTCAGGAGGTTTCTAAATTATAAATAAAATGTTCTCAATATAATTTTTAAAATGGACTGACAAACATGTTTGGATCATTTTAAAATTATTCCTTAGTTTTACTATTACAACTGAAATCAGATTTTTTCTTGTTTTTTTTTGTGTTTGATGCAAAAACATCTCTTTTTTCCTCCTACGATCATAATTGGATGTCACCACAAGTAATGAATGTGCAATTTTTTTAACCAATAATTTCTTTATATTTTTTCACATGACTAATAAAACAAACATTGTGAAAGCATAATAGTAAATATAACAATAAAACATTTAGTGAATTTAGAGACCACAATAACACATTGATTTTTGTTTTTTGATGATTTTTGCTTTCTATTTTGTTTACTGGGTCCCTTCAGTGGAGTCCTAAATGCTCAAAATTATAGTTAAAAAATCCATGGATTGTTGCTTGAATCACATAATGATTACCACAAGATAGCACCATAACACTAGTTAAAATTAATTCCCCATTCCCATAAATTCCTATGGTTTATCATAGTTAAACAAATACATTATTTTCAAAAGTATTCTATCATTATTATTATTATTATTATTATTATTATTATTATTATTATTATTATTATTATTATTATTATTATTATTATTATTATTATTATTATTTCCTTTCAACTTGTTTCTTCTCTAATGTTCTCTAACAAACATTCAAAGCCTTCACAGGAAAGTGAACTGTAATGAAAGTAAACAGAGCTGTACTGTGTTTACTGATTAATTTAGGTCTTTAGGTTTTCATTATTTAATGGTATCAGAGTAAAGGAGGTAAAAGGCAAAAACATGCTACACTTCAAATTTTTGTACATAGAAAATATTGAAACCAATTACGAGCTACGATTTGTGTTACTTTATCACATAAACTCCAATGAAATGTTCAATCTTTGTGGTTGATAAAATGTGGAAAAGTTTATCAAGACTTTTTGCAAGGCGCTATATGAACCCAACATGTAACAAATACTCATATGAACTTCATTAAAGTTGAACTTGATCAAAATAAATGAGTAAAACTTTCAATTTTGGCTCATTTTATTAAGCATCTGTTGAACCCAAAGCAGTTTATCTTTCAGGTATCAATTTTAAAGTATCACTTTTAAAGCTTAGCATCAAGTTCTAACATCACGAGAAGCAGGATGAAAAGGATTTCTGAAACTCAAGTGGAAGCGAATGGATCTCAAAATATAACAGTAAGCATCTTATTATAGTATTACAGATTGAAAATTGACTAGAGTCACTATTGTGGTGGCAAACAAAACACGAGAAATGATTCATAGCTAACGTTATACATCATTTGTCTGCTAGTAGATTCTTCATAGACGTGTTTATGCAGAGCTGAAAAAAGTTGGCATGCTAACTTTGATTGACAAACATGCTCGTCTTGTGATATCATACAGGTGTCATTCTGGCTTAGTCACACATATGGGGTTTGCCACAGCAGCGTGTGAAAATTAGTCGAGCATGATCTGTCTCACGACAGGGACTGAGTTCAACTGTTCATGTGAGCAGAACTGGATGTGCGGATGTTGCTGCTA